CCGCACCGGACGTTTGGGGGAGGGAAGGCAGCAGTGATTCTCCTGGCTGTGGGGGGACAGTTCCTGCTCTGTTGGTTGCCCTATTTCTCTTTCCACCTCTACGTTGCCCTGAGTGCTCAGCCCATTTCAACTGGGCAGGTGGAGAGTGTGGTCACCTGGATTGGCTACTTCTGCTTCACTTCCAACCCGTTCTTCTACGGATGTCTCAATCGGCAGATCCGGGGGGAGCTCAGTAAGCAGTTTGTTTGCTTCTTCAAGCCAGCTCCCGAGGAGGAACTGAGGCTGCCTAGCCGTGAGGGCTCAATTGAGGAGAACTTCCTGCAGTTCCTTCAGGGAACTGGCTGTCCAACAGAGTCCTGGGTTTCCCGACCCCTACCCAGCCCCAAGCAGGAGCCACCTGCTGTTGACTTTCGAATTCCAGGCCAGATAGCTGAGGAGACCTCTGAGTTCCTGGAGCAGCAGCTCACCAACGACATCATCATGTCGGACAGCTACCTCCATCCTGCCCCCTCACCCCGGCTGGAATCATGATGGGCTGCTAGACACTCGGAGGGAGATGGGGCTGGGGGCTGGTTATGATTGCAACGACCACCTCGTGGAATCACCTTTTCCCAGCTGGCTGGGGCTGGGGCTGGAGTCTCTGCACACAGCTTTTGCTTAGTGTTTCCTGGGTCAAGAATAGAGCTGACAGGACGGACTTGTGGCAACAGCCTTGGACTTGGCTGTGATTCTTGACTACTGGGGGAGGGATCCTGGGTATGGTGAGATGGTGATGAGAGAAAAGGGCCACAAAGGTGAGGTGAAGCCTCTTAACCAGTGAAATTCCATGTTACAGGAAGCAGGGAAACTCTCTAAGTTGGAGGATACAGGGCAGTAGGCCATGTTTGGAGTTATTCTGGGGCTATTTTGGATATTTTATTTTCCAGCATAATTGTCCAGGGCAGTAATTGCAACCAAGCAAGTTAAGAAAATGACCCATGTCTTCTCATTGCCTTGCTAGGTTTAAAACCAAAAAAACCAAACCTGTTGCCGTCAAGTCGATTTCTACTCATAGCGACACTATAGGACAAAGTAGAACTGCCCCACAGGGTTTCCAAGGCTGTAATCTTTATGGAAGCAGACTGCCACATCTTTCTCCCATGGAGCGGCTGGTGGGTTCAAACCGCTGATCTTTTCAGTTAGCAGCTGAGCGCTTAACCACTGTGCCACCAGGGCTCCTTCTTGCTAGGTTTAAAAAGAACTAAATTATAGCCAAGTGTTTCCATTTGACTTAATAGATCTTTTTCTAGTTTTATACCTGAGATTTCCTTAAAGTGAGAGGATGAGCTGGGTATATTCCCTCCTACCACAATTATCTGAGTTTGGCCAGAAACAAGGGGAATAGCAGTTCAGGGTACATGGAGTAGAAGACAGGAAAGCTGACTGCAGCTCTCTCTCCCACTCTCGGGAGCAGCCCTTCTGCTCTGTTTCCCTGTCACTCTGCACATGGGAGATCAAGCTTAGGGCTTGATCTCAGCAGAGGCAAGAGTAAGATAGGGTGGATTTCTCTCCCTTTTAGGATGAAGAACATGGAACAATTGGGAGTGGGATGGCTGAGGGTGGGGGCTAGCATTTGAATTGCTAAGGTGGCTGAGTACAGAGAGGCCAGGTAATCATCCTGATCAATAATATTGATAATCTTTCCCTTCCAGGACTGGCCTCCCTGAACTCTCTTCTCATGGCAGTGACCCACCTCCAGCCCCCTGGACAATCGGGTACAAGAGACTAAGGTTGGGCATGGGAAGGGTGGGGTTTCCATGGTCCACTGAATGCCTCTATTCCCATTCATCACTCTCAAAATTAGCTTCAGTGACAAAGACTTAAATCTCTCCTATCTGCAGCCCTGGGTTGGAGAGAGGGCACAGGAGTTGGGCTCAACTGTTCACTGATTGAAACTGGAGGAACCGTTATTTGGTATTGGTGGCCAAAGCATGGGCCAACCAAATTTCAAGGGAGGGGGAATAATTGCAAACTAGACAGGACACCAGTCAGGACTACCTGTTCATCCCACTTCCCTCAATTTAATCAGGTGATACACAAGGGTAAGGCAGGACCAGGGGATGGCGTGGTCTATATTTGAACAAAAGCCTCATTCATTGAGCATCAAAGGGGAAAATGGGTTGGTGGAAGAGGGATAGTTTCCACTTTGAACAGCCAATAAAGAATTTTATTATAAAAAGTTATACTGATATCAATGTTGACTCCTTCAGTTCAATTCAGTGCATACTAGTTGAACACTCACTATTCTCTGGGACCCACACAAAGGATGTGTGGTCACTGCTTTCAAGCAGTCCAAAGTCTAATTTGGTAAGATACTTTGTATTTTTACAGAGCATTTACAGTTGGTAAAGCACCATAGACAGTATTTGAGAAATAGATTGGCGAATATATCTACGGTTATAACTTCTGAGAGTTCAGTCCATTGCAGAAACGTGTACACAGAGGTTTCCTGCAGATTGTGGAAAGGGTGGGGGTTGTAAAAGAAAATTGTATAGTGGAAAAAATGATTAATTAAATGCAATTGGGCAAACACAGCTTTTCCTCTCTTCATCTAGAAAATTTTCCAGGTTTCTGTCTTCCTACCACTTATTACTTCAATCTAGTGCCTATTACATTAAGAAAATACCTTACAAAGGTAGTATATACAGTGGAGAGAGTCCTTTGTGTTGAAAAATATGTTTGTACTCCTCTCTATCCTCATTTTAAGATAAAATCATACTGAGAAATCTCATTCCTAGATGAGGGAAAAACTCTTCCAAACACCACTGGTCAGCTAGTAGATCCTAAGCATTGCCAGCAGGTGGCAGTATGAGTCCAGTTGAAAAAGGACAGGGGTCCCTGTGGTGAAGGGAAATGGGGGGAATTAAACATTGCCTGGCAGCCATTTTGCTAATTTATTTTGCCCTTTCCTTTGGCTTTACCCTCCAACCTTTCTTTCACATACGTCAAAGAAGAAAGTTTTAAGTGCAAGGATCTCTCTAATTCAGGCTGAAATTTCCTGACACTGTGATCTAATTGGTGTTTATTACAGTTTGACAAACGGTTTCATTGTCATTTATTTTTCCCTGTCTGAGTGGATCATGGAGGAAATAAAAATTTCTCTTCTGTTATGCTGAGAATGTTCCCAGCAATTTCTGCCATGACCTCCTTCCAGGAGTTTTCTAGTCATCAGGATGGCTTGATAAAGTTTGATACGTAACCTTAGCTCTGAAAACTGTTCCTGGACAAAACCTGAACTCCCTAATCCACAAGAATCAACAAGTTGGGGCAACCATTCTGTCATTTACTTTTCCACCCACATCCTGGTGGTGTTGGGGTGACTGCCAATCTTAGATGAAAAGCTTAGGCCCTCTATTGTCAGGTCTTCCCAGGCAGTCTTCCCAGGCAACACCCTACAGGGACATGGTAGAAAAGGGGCAAATGTAGAGTTAGACAGATCTACTTACTCACTATGTAAACTTGGGAAAGCTGCTTAATTTCTCTGAGCCTATTTCCTCATCTGTAAAAATGGGGATATTACCTACCTCACAGGGTTGTTGTGAGGATTAAAAAAGATGACAGTGGAAGCACCTAGCCATACCTGGCAAATAGGTACTCAATAAATATTGTTTTTTCTTCCCTTTCCTCTTGCCCTTTTTCCCCAGAAACACTGATTATGGTCATCCTAACAGCCATTTGAGAATGGCTTTGAAGATTGGCATTGATAAGAGTTTTGGTGGGTTAGGTTAATGTGGCTCTCAAGAAATTGGTCTAATTAATGAATCATCACCATATAGACCTTTCCGTTGGTAACTTTAGGTTCTAAGGTTTAGATTCTATTAGCGTAAGTAAATAATTTTTAATCACAGGGAAAGATTTTTTGGGGCTACAAAAGTTCCTCTCCCTAGAATGTATGGTAAGTGTTTGTGGGGCATTTGGCAGTAAAGGGAAGTTAAGGCCACCTTCATCTAGGACCCAGAGTTATCAATGAAAGAAGGTATTAGTCTGGGGTTTTCACAAGGATTCACTAATTTTCAGCTGACATTAGAGCTGAAAAAGCGAATTTTACTAGAACCTCCCTTTTTGTGTGGTACCACATAGTAAATTTAGAAGATTCACAAGATGCACTGGTTTGTTTTGGGGGGTGGGACTGCGGTTGACTAATCTTGGTAGAAGTCCTAAGCCCCTAAGTTAAGACGATCAGTAAGAGCTAAAATTGGCTTACGTTAGTGAGGGCAACATAGAAATTTTATGGAGGAACTACACGCTTAACTTTCAGGTTACAGGGTCTCTGCTAGCGATTGCAAGTGGTACTTTGACAACACAGGAGCTGGACAACTCCCAAGTCCACAGAACCTCGTAAGTAATGGCACATGGACCAGAATTCATTTTGAGAGCGGGGGTAGTGGGCCAGAGAAGGCAGAAGGGGATCGCTATGGTGTTAGATCTCAGACAGGAGGCGCGGCCGGGGTCCGGGCTGGGGCAGTTTGTTCCCATTCTATAAATCTAGCCGAGACGACCCTGGCGGAGAGTGTCCTACACTTGGGCAGGGGCTAGGGTCTCCATGGCCAGCGATCAAAGGCTCACTGGCTTGCACCCAGAAGAGCCTCTCGTGTGGGCTGTGGGCTCTTATCTCACAATCTCTCCCACCCTCCTGCCCCCGTCCAAAGCTGTTTGTGTGATCTCAGGAGCGCGCCATGAACTAGAGAAGCCAGACCCAGGTTTTTCTACATTTACTTAAATAATGTAGAAAGGGAAAAGGCAGACAAAAAGGGAAAAAGAGACCAAAGCGGATGGGAGGCGACCAGCGAGCTCAACAAGACCTCGCAGCTTCGCGAAACTGCCACCCGAACCTACTGCTCCCTTCCCGGTACTTCCGCTTTTGGTAGCACCTCCTCTCCCGGAGCTAGACAGGTTTGAGAAATAACGGCAGGAGGGCATCACCGGAAGTGTCGACAACGCCGGATATCCGGTTCTTCTAGGCGCTCAGTGAGCTGACGGAGAGGGACGCCGCCCAGCAGTAGACGCCGTCTCAGCCGCTCGAGCCGCAGTCGCCGCGGTGTGTGAGTGAGCCCGGATCCGGTCCCCTCTCCCGCCGCCGCCATGGGCTGCACGTTGAGCGCCGAAGACAAGGCGGCGGTGGAGCGGAGCAAGATGATCGACCGCAACTTGAGGGAGGACGGGGAGAAAGCGGCCAAAGAAGTAAAGCTGCTGCTGCTTGGTATGGGGCCGTGGGCGGGGCTGGCGGAGTGGTTGGGAGGCCCTAGGCACTTGGAAAGTCTGAGCTGGATCAGACCGGGCCGGTGTAAAGGACCTCAGAGAGATCTGGAGGGCGTGACGGTTTTGGGGCGGGGTGTTTAGGCTGGTGTCTGAGGCCTCGGAGGGCGTGATGAGGGGGTGGGGTTTGGGGTTGTAGGAATTAGGCTGTAGAGGGTGTGACTCCGGGCTGGAATTGGCGTTTAGCAAAGAGAGCTTCGGAATGGGGCGGTAGCATGAAGAGACTGTGTTAGTAAATAGGAAATACTCATGAAAGAGCTGATATTAAGGAAGGTTTTGTATGGATTTGCAGTGTGTTGATAGCAAGGAGGACGGGATACAGTATAATGTGTTGGGTTTGTATATAGTGGCTTGTGAATTTGGAGCGTAGTGATACTCGATGACAGGATAGAGCTGGGAAACTTAAGAATGATTAATATAAATAGAGAGGCTGGGAAAGAGTGGTCACATGAGGACCGTGTCATTAGAGAGTAGGCATTTTGAACTGTTGCTAAGTGGAGGAAGCCTGGATTTTCCAGGAATATAAAGATAGGTGACATATTATCGGATATGAATGAAAAGAGCGTGGGTGCTGAGGCTGTCTTTATACTTTTCACCTTTTTCTATCGTTTTTATTCTTTTAAATTTTATAAACCCTTCCCCTGTTTTTATAAAGGGGATGTGGAGTGAGTTGAGGAAATTTAAAGAATGGCTTGCTTGAAATGTGTGGCAAAAGAGGTAGTGGACATAGATTATATATTGGGAGTTGCTGAATAGTTGCTGGGGATGATGTGCTGTGAGAATGAAGGAGTTAGGATAAATTAAAATATTGGACATATGTCCTATAAAGACTGTGACAGACCTGTGATGAGCTGTTTTATTTATTTTTGTTTTTTTCAAACAAATACTGGCTTCAGGAGTTGCTTTTTATGTTACCTGACATTTTTAAAAAATAGCTTTTACGGACTGCCAGATGCATTTTGCTCAGCAGGGTTTAGTTTTAAAATTTTTGAGACTGGCTTCTAGAGGCTCAGTAAATCATATGAAGTATGTTGGCATTAGCTTACCAATAAATCAAGCCACATTTCTTCACAATTAGGATTTTCTAGGGACGCATTGGAAAAGAATAAGAATAAAGTGGTTTCATTTTTTTTTAATTAATTTATTTTTTTAATGTTGTAGTTTAAGTGAAAGTTTACAATTCAGGTTTGTCTGTCATATAAAAACTTACACATACGTTATTATGAGACCCTAATTGCTCTCCGTGTACTGTGAGAGCACACTCCTTTCCACCCCTAATTTCCCATGTCCATTCAACCAGCTCCTGACCTTCTCTGCCTTCTCATCTTACCTCTGGACAGAAGCTGCTCATTTAGTCTCATGTATCTACTTGAGCTAAGAAGCACACTCTTCACCAGTATCATTTTATGTCCCCCAGTCCAGTCCAATCTTCGAAGAGTTGGCCTCAGGAATTGTTTTAGTTCTGGATTTGCAGAGATCTGGGGGCCATGCTCTCTGGGAAAGTGGTTTCTTAAGCAATAGAACAACCTTACTTTTTAAGACAATTAACTTTTGAGAAAAAGTAGTTGCTTTAGGGGACGTGCCAAATTTTCATAGTGTAAAGCAGCCTCAGAGGACAGAATGCACCACCATAATCCAAGGCTTATTTTATTTTGTACTCCAGGATGTGCTGGCTGCACCTGCTAGTCTCTTCCTGTTAACGGTATTTGTCTATTGATTGCAGAAGCCCTGGTAACAGCTTTTTTGGATATGGGGGAAAACTACGCATTGTATTTTGAGCTCCCAGTTTGAATACCTAAACTTTCAGAAGGCATAAATTCAGATGTAGTTCAAGATTTCCACTGTCTATGTAATAGGTAAGGAGCCCTGGTTGCGCAATGGTTAAGTGCTTTGCTGCTAACCGAAAGGTTGGTGGTTTGAACCCACCAGCTGCTCTGCAGAACAAAGATGTGGCAGTCTGCTTCTGTGAAGATTTACAGCCTTGGAAACCATATACGGCAGTTCTACTCTGTCTTATAGGATCCTTGTGGGTTGGAATCGACTTGACGGCATTGGATATGTAACAGGTATTATTGTGGATGAGCACAGCCTCTGGCACATAGTAAGTGCTCCTTAAACTTTTGCTACTAATCAGCATGAGCCAGCTAATGTTGGACATGGGTCCTGGGGCCTTTCAGATGTTTTTTATAAAGAACAGCACTCAAGGCGTTTTCTACATTGATTGGTTGGTTATGAGATTAAAGGTGCATTCTCATCTTCTGTGAGTATTTTGATTTACATTGGCCATCAGAGATCCCCTTGGGACATTAGCCTGTTTTAATATAGTTGTAAGCTATAAGACTTTCTTCCAAATGGCAAGATTTAGCAGGCAGAACTCAGGCGAGTAGAACTTGATCAAACGTTTAGAAAAATCTTTATTCAGGACTTTATAAATATTGCATTTAATTAAAAACAAAAACACACGATGATTTAAGGAACTTGAAATAAATAAAAATCAAAGTACTAAAGCATTTGTTTTTAATTTTTATCACTTCGTTTTTTTTTAAATTTTGTTGTTGAAAATATATACAGCAAAACATAAACCAATTCAACTGTTTCTGCATGTACAAATTCAGTGATATTGATTATATTCTTTGAAATGTAATTCAAATATAATCATTCTTCAAATGATTATGCAATCATTTCTCACACTCCTTTTAAGTTTTCAAGATTATCTCAGGGCAGTAGTTTCAGGGGTTCATCCAGCCCCCATGGCTCCAGAAAGTCTGGAGTTTCATGAGAGTTTGAGATTCTGTTCTGCATTTTCCCCATTTTGATCAGGATTCTTCTATAGAATCTTTGAGCAAAATGTTCAGTAATGGTAGCTGGGCACCATGCATTTCTTCTGGTCTTTTGGCAAAGGAAGCATTAACTTCGTTGTTTTTTAAGTAAGTTTTTTTTTTTGTATTCTTGAGCAAGTTAAATCAACAAATTCATATAGGTTGCAGAGAAATGTTCTTGCTTGAGCCATATCATGATGCACATATGAAGTTAAAACTGTCTTGCTATTTCTATAAGTAAAATGCACTCATCGTGGTATATAAATGTTTCTTTTTGCTGTAGAATACCTCCTTTGATGTACATGTGAGTCATTTTTACTTCATCACTGTGAAACTATCAAACTTAGTCTAAGTCGACATCTGTCTGTATTACCATTGTCTCTTCTGGGACATAATAGGTGCTCAGAAAATATTAATATATTTTTGTTCTCACAGGGGTGTCATTTAGCATAGTGGTTACGAGCATGGGCTCTGAAGTCAGACTGCTTGAAAACCTAATTCCCACTTACCAGCTATAACCTTGGGAAAACTGTTTATTTCTCTCTGCCTCAGTTTCCTCATCTTTAAAATGGAGAAGATAGAGGTGCTTCATAGGATTGCTGTGAGGAGTAAATACCGTAATAATATAAAGTAGAACATAGCCTGGCACATAGTACTAGCTCAGTGAATATTAGCTGCTATTGTTATTATTAAAGTGAACGTTACAGATTATAAATACTATAGAAATTTAAATAAACCACCGTGGGCTAAAATAGCTAAGGAAGACTTCAGTACTATAATTCTTTCTCTGCTATATACCTATTTTTGAATTTTCTTTTGGTGTTATTGGGAAGGTTTTTATATACCAAACTTGTGTTCCATCACAGTATTCTACTGAAAGGCAAAATTACATTATGCAAAGGTTCCTAGCTAGTGTGCCAGCGCATAGCATGGTTTATTGGTGTGCTGTTAGCAAATTTTTTATAGTGTTGAAATTTTGTTTCTTTGTTTTAATTAATAGTGTTAAAATTTTAAAACAGTTGAAATGCTATTTTAATATTTTTGGTGTGATTCTCTCTATAAACTTCCTGAATTTGGTAATTTGAAAATATTTTATTTGGAAGGATTGTATTTTGTTATTTTATATTTTATTTTTCCTATCATAATTCATAATATAGAGAAAATATATATATTTTTTTACCAAGCTTCTCTAGTTTACTCCAGTGAGCCTTAAAAATATTACTGTTTTCAATGTGTGCCATGATGTGACAAAGGTTGGAACGCACTGGTATAATGGATAAGAGCCATGACTTTGGATTCACACAAAACTGAATTCAAATCCCATCTCCACTCACTAGCTGTGAGACCCAGAGCAGGTAACTTAACCATAGGAAGCTAATTGTCATGTGTGTTGAGATGATGATGATGCCTTCTTCATAATACGAAATAAGATAACATATGTAAAATGCTTAACATCAGTGCATCTTGTCGTCGTCGTGTGCCGTCAAGTTGATTCCAACTCATAGCGACCCGTAGGATATAGTAGAACTGTCTTCCTAGCAAATAAAAGTACTCAATAAATGACAGCTCCTGTTATTATGGTGATGTTTGTGAAGTTTATCTTTTTAATACTTTTTTTCAGGAATGTTTCAGACAGATATTTGATTAACTTTCAAATATTAATATACCCTTTTTAGACATCTTCAAAGGATTTTAATAAATACCACTATTGTGGTGAAAAGATTTAAATGTTATTATATAATGTTGTAACTTAACGAATGATCTACTCCTGTGCTATCTCCAAATTTCCACTTCTTAATAACTTACCTCAGCAATTTCTGAAAAAACATTATTATACAAAATAAGATTAATTTTTAATGCCTTGCTTTGAGATTTTACTGGTGGTGGTGGTATGGCAAAAATTAAGTTGTGTGCAGAGACTTGGAATCTTCTAATGGATTTAAACCCTGTATTACACAATTGCTTATTTACATTTAAATTTCTGCATATTATTGACTGAATATGTTTATTCTTATTGAAATTAATACTGTTTTTTGATAAATATGCCATTGCATTATATCCTCCTATAGAATGATTCTTCATAATGTTTGCCATTTATTTGGAATGATGCACAGACAGTTATTAA